TACCTAGAGTAGTCAAATTCACAAAGACAGAGAGCAGTGTGCCAGTGGTTGGAAAGAGGTAGAATGGAAAATTCTTTTAAATAGGTATATAGTTTTAGTTTTGTAAGATGAAGTGGTGGTAGTGGTTGCATGACAATATGGTTGTACTTAATACCACAGAGCTATACAAAATGGGGGATAAATTTTGTTACGTATATTTTACCACAGTAAAAAAGTGCAGGAAAAAAAATCTAGTGAAAGACAGAGTCATCAAAAGATGAAAGGGTCTGATGCTATTCTAGACAACTGGAGGAACTAGAAATATGAACTTTATGTTAAATTTATTGATTTTTAAAAGTTGGTAACTAATTAAAAAATTTTTTTTGAATCATAGTGTGGGCCAAATGAAATGTACTTGTTGGCCAAATTTGATCTACACCTGTTAGTTTATAAACTCTGCAAAAGGACTAGGAGAAAGAATGACCTTCATAGGCATCATGCCTACTATGGTACCCCTCACTGTCCCGGGATGGGAGCAGACATCTTAAAAGATTAAAAGAAAGATTGATCATACTCTGTTCCTTTTGTCATCTTCATGGCTGAAGAGCAGGTTTTCTCCATCTTCAAACAGGTTTTAGATACTTTGTCCTTTACTAACACTAGAAATGCTTATTACCATATTCTAGGTATTAAAAGGTATTTGGGCATCCAAAGGCAGAGAGATTTGGACCAACAAAGAAACCCTTCTGTGCCTGTAGGAGTCAATAATTCCTATCACACTGCTCTGTGGGGAAAACTGGTGATTCCTTATAGGAAATCAATGCCAGTGATACCTGTCCTGGTTCATGACTTAATCCAAGGCATCTAATCCTAGGACAAAGTAGGTGCTTGTGGGAGAAGGAAGATTTCACCAGACTCTTGTCTGATGTGTTTTGGATAGCCACAAGAACCACTTTCTACTGGGGCTCCAACTAACTGTTTCATAGATTTTTGTCATGACACTTCAAAAAGTCCTCTTTCCAAATTGTCTCTTATATCTAGAGGACCCTAGAAAAAGAGAATTTAGATTGCAGATGAAATTAAGACTGCAAATTTTAGCTTATTTTAAAATAGGGATATTATTCTGGATCATCCAGTTGTACCCAACATAATCATAATGACCTGTAAATAAAAGACTGAGGAAGAAAAGTTCAGAATGATGCAATGTGAGAGGGACTCAAACTACAGCATTGGCTTTGAAGGTGGATCAGGGTGCCAGGAGCCAAAGAATATGGGTGGCTTCTAGAAGCTGGAAAAACTGAAGAAACAGATTCTGCCCCAGGACTTGCAGAAGGATCTAGTCCTACCAATACCCTGATTTTCGCCTAATGAAGCCCCATTTCTATCCATCAGAATTATAAAATTATAAATTTGAATTGTTTAAGGAAAAAAAAAGGGGAGTATGAACATTAACTCAAAAAAAATAAAGCATAAAAAGTATATGTGTAAAATTAGGAAAATTCACTAATGCTACTGTAATTGTACTAAGTTTGTGTATATACTAGACTTATGGGTTAAGTCTTCTGTTTTTTTTTCCCCATTGTGTTTATACAGTTATATCTTAGTCAGTTTGGGCTGGTAACAAATTACCAGAGACTGGGTGGCTTAAACTGTGTCTATTTATTTCTCACATTCTGGAGGATAAAAATTCAAGATCAAGTATAGATTGACCCCATGTTGGGTGAGGTCCGCTTCCTGGTTTCCAGATGGCTGCCTTCTTGTTGGATCCTCTCTTTACAGCGAGCAGAGACCGAGAGCCTATGTCTCCTCCTTTTTCTTCCTTCTTTTTTAAAAAAAATAAGAATGCTAATCCCATATGATGAGGGCCCCACTCTCATGATTATCTAGTCCTTGTTACTTCCTTTAGTCCTTTCCTCCAAATAGCATCGTGTTGGGGGTTAGGGTTTCAATATGGATTTGGAGATATGTAGACACATTTTTCAAACTGACAAAAACCTTTATAGTAAAAATGTATGAATAGGTTTCAGATCCTCAGGTTCAAACTTCTTTTTAAAAGGTAATATAAATTATAATATAATGTAATAACATAATTATTATTATATTATGTGACTTTCATATTAATTACCACTTTTTTCCTACATATAATTTAAAGTGATATTCTAAATACATTTGTCTAATTTGAATTCAAATGAATAGCCAAGAGAGGTGTTTGGTGGTATAATGGTGAGCATGGCTAGCTTCTAAATCATGGCCAAAGTTTTTTAAACCTTCCCTGCAATATAGCTTTTATGAGAGTATGAAAATTCTGTTACAACTGTATCCTGAGGCAAGAGGATTACAAGTTTAAGGCCAACCTCATCAACATAATGAAGCCCTAAGCACTTAGTGAGAACCTGTCTCAAAATAAAAAATAAAAAGAGCAGGAGATATAACTCAATGGCGGTGTTCCCTGCTTCAAATCCCAATACCAAAAAAAAAAAAAAATTCTATTATATACCTTCCAAACAATGCTAAATCCATACTCTCAACCACCCCCTTTATCTAACTTTCATACACCATGCCAATATTTCCATTGCTCTAAATCTCTCAGGGCCAGGTATCAGGCAACTAGAAACCACCCCTATACCCTAGAGTCCTCTGACATTATTCAGATCAGTCAATCCCAGGCTGTTTTCTCTTCCCTGTTTCCTGTCTTGCATTTCACACACACTCACACACACACACACAAAAAAAAAAAAACCCACCAAAAAAACAAAACCAAAAACAAACAAACAAACAAAAAAACAACCAACAATGAAAGCTCTGGCATGGACTTTTCCCTCACACTGATTCTGCTTTCTTACCAAACCTGGTGCTTCTCCAAATGGTCCCAAATGGCATGTAGTGTTCCTAGCTCTCAGGAAATGTAAGCAATAAACATTTTCTTCCAATGCATTGACTTATGTGTGTCATTATAGTCATCTCATGAATTAAAACCCTAAGGGTACACATTGAAACAAATGGCTAATAGAAAAATAATCAATGTGACATAATGACAACCAAGGAAATGAAGAAGTTGGGACAAAGACAAAATAGGAATAGAAAAAATTAGTTGAAGCTGGGAAATATTCATATAGAGCAAACATCCAGTAAGACTTCTATCTTTGTAGAAAAGGAAGGGCAGGGTGACTTAGTACTTCACAATTGCTGACGAAAAGAGAACATATGATCACCTCAAATATTTAGGAAATCTCAAGATAACAATCCAGCAGTGTAGAGAAACAAAATTCTTCCTGATTTTGGGAACTCTGATTTTTCTTCCTAGACCCTCATATGGAAATTGCTAAGAATGTAGTATTTTGTCCAACCCCCAAGGATAATCTTTACCATTTCTCAATTTTAACTGAGGGCATAAATCCCAAAGCACATTTTAGTAACTACATATTTTGAGTGATATGCCTTTCCTTACTGTGTCTAAAATATCTGACAAGAGCAACTTAGAGGAGGAAAGATTTATTTTGGCTCAAGTTTATGAGGTTTCAGTCCATGATTGGGTGGCTCCATTGCTTTGGGTCTGAAGTGAGGCAGAACCTCATGGTGAAAGTGGCAGAGGAAAGCTGCTCATAGAAGCAGGGAGAGAGCAGGGCAAGGGGGGGTGATGATAAATCTTTCCAGTGTACATCCCTAGTGACCTACTTCATCCATCTAGGTCCCACCTGCCAGTAGCTAGCAATGGAATAATCCAGGAAAAGTATTAACCCACTGATAAGGTCAGAGCCCTTATGATCCAATTATTGCCTAAAAGCTTCACCTCTCAACCGTGCTGCTTTGAGGACCATGCTTTCCACATAGGAGCTTTGGGGAGACATTCCAGATCCAAATCATAATAAGGGGTGTGTCCAAGAGTTCAGTCTGGTGTTTGTTTTTCTAATGATTTTACTTAATCCAAAAAGAAATTGTAGAATATCTATATCCTGTCTTTCTCAATATTTTAAACACACACATTATCACTCAAGAAATTCAATCTACATGTTTAGATATTAAAAATGATGGGTTATTTTTAAAATATAAAAATATATTACTAATATAAATAAAATATAAATAAATAAAATCTGAGTTTTAGAAACCAAGCATCTACCCCCTTTTCCTCGCGTTTCTCCTTTGAGTGTCACAGATCTGGAGACATGGAAGAAATGAATACTTTTCAAGATATTCTTCTTAAATTTTATTTATTGTAATTGAGCTGTTTGGGCCAGCAGGATTTCAAAGAGCACCTGATAAGGGCAGCTCCAGTGTTTCAACTGTTGGCCAGATCAAGAGAAGGAGGAGTCTCAAGGGCTGGTCCAGCCCTCTAGGACAGAAGGACGGGAAGATGGCCTCAGTGATGGAAGCCCTAAAGAGAAGGATAATCTGGTTCCTGGTAAAAGGATCTCAGATGAATATCACCATAGGACAGCTTTGAATCTTAGCACTGTGTATGGTATTTTCCCTCAGTCCCAGTCAGATCCAGTGTTCTTGTGAGGTAGGCATGGCGCTGTGTTTCAGGAATGCCCCAGAGCATATAGGAAGCAGTATGGACTTGGAAACACAAAATGTTGGAGGAACTCTGTCAGGCCCGGTGCTGAGACCACTAATAACTTTTCAGTCTGGAGGAGGTGACAGGTTTGACTAAGGTCAAGGAGCAAGTAAGTGTTAGTCCAGGGGTTCGTCCTGGGATCACGCAGACTTGGCATCACTGGTTGGGCAGAACAACAACCTGTCAGGGGGCAGAGAGGCAAGGTCAACAGAGAGGGGTGGTTCTCGGAGTTGGGGCGGAGCCTGGAGAGAGGGCGGGGGCGAGGTGGGCCGAGCTGGAGTCAGGAGGAGGGGGCGGACCTAAAGGCGGGGCCTTGCCGCGTGAGTCTCGCGCCTGCGCACGGGCGTCCCTGGGAGGGCCTGCGCGCGCGCCTTGAGCGGGCCCTGGAGGGCGGAGTCCAGGCAGGCGCCGGCCAAGGGAGGGGGCGCGGTGGCTCTGGAGTCCGGCGCTCCCTGAGGCCGTGGACGCGATGCTGGCTGTGTCCTGTCGTGTTCCCGGGCCGACCGGAATGTGACGGCGGCCCCTCGACTAGCCTTCGGTCTTGGGGCCCGCAGGTCGCTGGGCGACCCGCAACCGGGCCACGGCCGAGAGGAGGCTGTGCGACCTCCGCACGGTGAGAGCTGGGGTCAGGGCCGGAGCGGGTGCTGGCGCCGGGGTCGCGGCGAGTGCCCCGGGTAGCCCGTAATGGGGGCGCGGTCCAGGGCGGGGCGGAGGCTTGGGCGTCGGGGGAGAAGCAGAGGCCCTAGAGAGGCAGCCTTCCAAGGCGGCCCAGCGAGCGCCCTTCGAGCCGCCTGAGGTGGGCGGGTGTGGAGCCAGGAGGCCGGACCCCCTTGCCCCTCGGGCTGTGACAGGCGCAGGGGGTCGGGGGCCGTGGGCCACTGGCACTGGCCACAGCGGCGGCCCTTTTTTGCTCAGGGGAAATCTGGGCGAGGCTGAGATGCCCAGTGATTTCAGAGCCGGGATGCTCGTGAGGGTTGATAGGGAAAAGTACCGAGGTGCTCTGAATGAGTGGATTTTTTTTTTTTTAAATTACTGGGCCAAAACAAAGACCCCCCTAAAAATACATCCTGAATAAAACTTTGGTGGATCACACCGTTGCTGTGAGTTCAGATGCTGTTGCTTTCTCTTCTTTAGACGTCTGCTATTTTTATCCATTTGTATAATGCACCGTGTTTCTTGATACAGTAAGAGGAGGAATTACTCCGTTGATGTGGTCGTTTGTGGCTAAGCTTAAGTTTGAATTTCAATAATTGCAAATTCATCTTTGTAGGCTATCCAGCCAATTAGACTTGCTGTTCCTAACTAGGCCTTAGCAGTGTGGAAATTACTGATGCACGGACTTTTTGTAGTCTGAGATTGATATGTAGGTTTTCACTCTTAAAGGAGAGAGAACATGAACTTTAGCCTTTTCAAAGTAGCTGTTTTCTCCTGAACATTAAACTATTATGGAACCTATTCATTTGGCCAGAGGTGTTTTAAAACATCATTTTCAAAAGAGACTTTAATTTAAGGAGACTTTAGTTTACCGAAATCTAAGATACTCTCCTTCTGCAAAAGATAGATAGGTACAAAACATATCTTATAGGCTGTAATCAGACTTATAGTCTGTAATATATGATAAGTATATAAACATTGCTAAATGTTTTGCTCGAAGTCAGTTTTTTTCAGACTTTATTGTTTGCTTTGCTATTTTCTGATTTGGTTGTTTTCTTTAGTGTTCTCAGCGACATTGACCTCAAATAATCTTTGGGTTAAAAATACAACTTTCTTCAACTTTTTAGCCACAATTAATAATGTCTTATTTCAGTGTTATATTACTATCCCATAGTAATATAATGCTAGAAGCCATCTTGAGAGCAGGAATTCATTAATTTTTTATTCTACCTTTCTACAGGTAGAATTTTTTTCTTGTTGCCTTAACTCAATGCTTTTTATTTTATGGAGAAAGATGAGGACTTTGATTTCGGGTTTAGAAGCCCATTGATGACATTTCATAATCCATTTGAATAAATTGAGGCTTTCATAATTTCTGGTGTTTGTCTACATTTTAGTTTCTCTTCTACCATGATGCCTGCCCTTTCCATTTAAGACTATTTGTAGCTCTCAAAAGATGACATCTTCCTTTGTGGTTTTACACTGTTCCCTCTGTTGAAAATTTTTCTCTTCCTAGTAAACAACTTGCCATTCACAACCTTACTAATATAACACCTGAGTCTTCTCTGGAAGTCTTATCCCTTTTGTCTTCTCTGATCCAATAAGATACAATACATTATGCAGATAGCATTTGCCAATTGGTAGTTAATGATTTGTTTATATGTCTCTCTTAACCAGGCTTTTGAGTTTCTTTTTAAGTTTGCAACTTAAGCACATAATGTTTTGTGGCACAGGTATCAAAACTATTAGCTGTATGTGTTCTGGAGGAATGGCTTCAGGCTTAAATACAGCTTTAAAATAGGCAGAATATGTTAGACTGTATTTTTCAGTATCAGAAAATTTAGAAAAGATGAATGTACAAGGTGCTTTTAAAAACCCAAGAACAAAGTGAAAATCATTGCTGATTAGGAATGAAATCCTAGTTCTGACAGATAAAAACAGTCCATTTTATGATGCAGGAATAAGAAGGGCATGACCAATAAGGATTGTTGCTTTACTAGTCCTAGAACTTTATTTTGAGTGCAGTAGTTTGCTTAGGGGTCACATGGGTAGACAGGGCCAGAGCTCAGATGACTGTCCAAGTGTTTTGATCATCTTTGTATTTCACCTTTGCCTCTAGTCTCCTAATTCTAAACTTTAGTAATTGTTTTACCATCTGAGTAACGGTAATGAGAGACTTTGGTGTGTTTGGGAAAGGGGTCCGTTACTTTAACAGGTATTGAACTTGAAAGAATTTACAGATTATTTGGTTCGATTTGAAAATTTTACTATTAAATAATTAAAGCTTGAAAAGACAGGTAACATGCCTGAGATTGCATAGTGTCATCTCTGTCTCACATCTTCTGACCTCATGTTTGTATATTTTCCACTGCTTCATGGTGGAGGTATAGAAAAATGAGGAAGTCAACAAATTTTCACAGAGTGCAAATCTGCGTCATTTTCTTCTTAAATTCTTAGCTGCCACTCTTAGGGCTTTAGAGCCCTGAAATGGTTGAGAAACATAATAATTCATCTGGGAACATAAGGGAAACTGAACCTTCACCATTCTGTTTGGCCAGATAGTTTTAATTTTGGTGTTTGAGGTCCTCTCTCCAGATGCTTTGTAATAAGTGGCCTCTGATCACCAGATGGAGATCCCCAGTTAAATTTTGATGGTAAAAGAGATTTTAATATAATGAGGTTACAGTTGGCTAATAGCATGGCTAAAATTGCATGTATGGTTTGTCTTTATGTGAGAAGAGCTAATCCATTTACTCCTGTGTGATAGGTTTTTAGGGTAAAAAATTGTTTATTGTTGTTTCATGCCTCTGAAAAGTCAGTTTTGAAGTGTGTATTTAGTTTGATGGGCCTGATCAATTCCAATAGGCTTTTTATTGGAACAACATAATGTTAAAGAATTTTTTAAAAAATCAGAATAAGCTTTTAATTTTTGGTCATACCTATTTGGTTTTATACTGTAATCAAATCATAAATATAATGTTTAACACTTTCATACTTATTTTCTTTTTGCTATAGTTTTTATACCTTTAGATTATTATATAATGTTACAGTGAGTTGAATTACTTATTTTTTAGTAGCTCGACATCTAGGTTGCTTATTTTGTAAGTGCATTTAATATAGTTCATCATTTTACTTCTTTCCTTTAGGTTAAAGGCCAAGGAGAGGGATTTCAAGGTCAGATGGTTTGAAGGTTTTATCAATTTCAAAAAAGATGCCAGATTTACTGTAGATAGGTATTGCTATACACTGCCTCTAGCAGAATTTAGCTGACCAATTCCATCATACATTTTTATAATCTTTTGTTTTTAAAAATGGGTATTAAAGTACTTGCCGTCTAACATCACAGGCCATAGTAGAAAAGCAAATGCAGTGTTTTTCTAGTTCTGTTTTCTCCTTTCTATGAATTGTTTGTCTTTCAGTTATAAATTTACTGAAATCCTATCATCATTTTCAGTAGCACTGACACCATAAGTATTTAATCTTTTGAAAAGTGTTTCTGATCTGCTTTATTTTTGTTATTTTTAGTATTGAAGAGTTTGTAGTATTTTTTAGTATTACTAGAATTACTGACTTTTTAAAAAAGTTTTGTGATTTTTGTGTTTTAATTGTGAAGTCTTAGAATGAAATTATTCTGCTACCTGATGCATACTTTTATTAAGTTTCTAGAGTTTGTTTTGTTATATGGGTATGTATTTAGTAGATTACGTATGCAATTGGGATTGAAATTTTATTCATGTGGATTTTACATTATAGAAAACCACATTGTTATTAATTTTCATTTTTTTCTTCCTGAGTTTGAACAGGGAGACAAAGTAAAAGAACCTAGTTTTTTTTTTTTTTTTTTTAAAATACATAAATTTTTTCTTTCTTTCTTTTTATTTTTTGGATTCTTGCTTTTTAAAAATAAATTATCATGAAAACAATATATTGGTTAATTGAAGGTTTTGTTGATTCAGGATTAATTGGAACGTTGTTTCTAACTGGGCTCTTATTGTTAATTATTCTGAAATACATGGAAGCTAAACTTTGGTTATCTGCTGTCTTTGGGAAGTGATGCATTCTAGATAGATGAGATAGTCCAGGACATTAGTTAGAAGATATACTGTGCAAGGATTTGGCATGCAGTTTCTTACTTAGTCCTCATAGCAACTCTAAAAGATAGGTCTTTTAGTATTCTCCTTTTGTACAGGAGAAAACTTATAGATGAAGAGTGATCTGTTAAAGGTAACATGGCTAGGAAGGAGTGGACAGCCAGTTTGCTTTCACTAGGCACTGTTTTTTTTTTTTTTTTTTATATGTGTACATATTTAGTAGATTTAAAGATGAATTATTTGCTGTGCTAAGAATTTGGACTTGGGCATTTGAAAGATACTAGATGTTTCAAAGCAAGGAGATGATATGACATGTTATTTCTTTTTGAGAGATGACTGATGTGACACTGCTCTCAGCCATTCAATTTGGGAGGGACTCCTGTCCCATATCTTCATTCTGAATGTGGGAATGGGGGATGCAAGACATGGTATTTTTAGCTAAGGAATACTGAGTATCTCAGGGACCACAATCTCTTTTGGTGTCTGGTATTGAAAAGCCCAGGTGATAACTCATATTTTAGCAGATATGTTTTTTATTCCTCACCATTCAACCTTTCTTTAAAGTGGAAATATAAATATGTCTACACACACACACACACACACACACACTCTTTGAATTCTCCCACCTCCCCTTCCCTCCACACTAATATAGCAAAATCTTTTTTTTTTGATGACTAGGCCACTGGTATATACACCAGGGACAACAAAGAGAGGCAGACACCAGAAGGTTCTCTAAGTTGTTGTTATCATGTTAATGATATTTGGTTGCAGCCTGAGTGCTTTGGGGAAATTTGAGAGCTTTCTCTGACCATTATGTCTTGGCAGCCAGTTTTAGGATTGGGAGTTACAATTTTCTCAGAAGACCATA